CCTCACTCTCTCGTTGACAATGGCGTTTGAAAGTGGCACAACCACCGTCAAACACCAACACTCACCGAAAATATCCCCCACTAACAAATTTACCCAATCCGCATGAATTTCTAAATGAAAATCAAGCTAAACATAGCTTGAAGCTAAGAAAAATATAGAACTTACGTGGTCGAGAAGACTGGTATTATGGTCAGACGATTTGGCGATGACGGTAGACGGCGGTGAATCGCGACAACAACAAGAGAAGCTGGAAGAAGATGAGAGATGAATAATAGAGATAAGCAAAAAACACAAATGGTTTTCTACCTATCCTACTCTTAAAGAGCCCTCAAAAGCACGTGCATGTGTGGGTCTTCTAGCCTAGGAAAGCGTAGGGGTCATCATTAAAACTCTATCCCTAGTCTGGCCATCATTACGCATTAAATTGTAACACGTGGCTCAATGCAAACTTGAGACCCAATCTCTTCGAATCCAATCACATGTTCATCTCCTCGTGTGCCGAGCACAGAAGGCGACGATTCGGGTTCCTCGTAGGAACATGTCCCCGGGAAACTCATGCAACGTCCCCGTCATGAACAACAAGCGTTAGTGGCATGATCCTCTCTTTAATGCACGAGATGACTATAAGTCATTACGCCCATACCTAGGAGTAACAACTTGGGTGGCTCGTGTTCTGGTCTAGCCAAATGGCCAAACATATCCCAATCCACGTCTACTTTTAGGATGGACCAAAAGTTGTGGCTCAATCAGTTTGGACAGACAAAGGACACTTTTCCCTTCTAACCCTCAGCAAAGGATGTATGGTCGGTTGTCCCCCAGGGCCAACGAGACAAATGCTACAGTTAACCGCACCTTTGTCCACATAGAAACCATCCAAGAACAACCATAATATGCTCACTCGTAACCACGCCCCTACTTGAGGAAACGGTTAGTTCCGAGCATTCCTGCCCGTTACAATGACTAGTTCCTGGAAGTTACCTAATTTTGGGAACCTGATATTCAGGCCCAAAAATAGGAACTAATGGCCAAGTGTCGGGGGGCACAATATAACCTGTCACACTTGTGAGGGTCAGGTATTCAATATTCACTCAAAAACCCTAAACTATATCTTGTATATCTTTGCACTCTTACTTACTTGAGCATCAGAGTGCCTTGAAAGTACACCCCTCCTCCTTGACTCTAGCTTTGCAGACAAAAATGTCGGCCCATTACAAGTTCTGATCACTGGTAAGATCAACTTACAACTGCAAATTCTATGAATATTGAAAGTATTACAAAATTAGGGGTTAATCCCTCTATTTATAGTTTTAGGTTAGCTTTCTCCCTAAGCCAAAAAGCCCAAAACTAAAAAAAAAATAATACCTATTTTGGATCTAAATTGAATCTGTGTGTAGCAACCTGCTTACAACACTTCAACACATAACACAAATTGACATACTTTGACAGACTAAGCCTATTTTGACACACCTTGTGACGAGCAACATGCTTCTTCTACACAAGGAACTACACTTTCAATATTTTTTGCATGTAGCGACAATGCTAATACCTTCCCCTTGCATAACCAACCCCCGTATCCAGATCCCTCTTTTATTAGTTTTGATTTAAAAAACTTTGGGGGTTTTGTTCAACCTTTTCCCTTTTCTCTTTGAAAACAATAAAGTTCGGTGGCGAATCTTTCTTTTTCTTAATTAATTTAATCAATAGATTAATCTTAATTTTTCTCAACACAACAATATGCCTTTAGTGAAATGATTGGTACATTTGTTTCTTATTTACTATTTATATTGTTTAACTTTTATAAAACATATAAAAAGGAAAAGAAAAAGGGAAATTTGATTTGATTACCAATAAGAACATATGGACTTTCCTCTTTATCTCATTATGTCTTCATCTCATTCGTTCGTGCCTCAATTATGAGATGTCGACTAGATTCCCTCCCTTGGAAATTTTGGATTTGTAATGATATTTTGAATCTTCAAGTATATATTTTATTTGGTATTGTTTGAATCAAACTTACTAACAAATAATAAATTTGAGAATCTCAATAACTAATAAAAAATACTTAAAAATATGTTTTCAATTTTGATAAAATAAAAGAGAGATAATAATATATATTCTTATGTCATATAATCGAGTGCTAATTTTATTTTAACTTGTAAAAGAAGTTGTTAGCAGATTGATGTGATCATTTCACAAAGAAGAATCAACAAAAGCAAAGAGAAGAAGGAGCTATTATTGCATTGATTAAGCTCAAAAGAGAAAGAAAGAGTACAATAAATTTATATAGTATCTCAACTAATCATAACCAACTAACTAACTATAACAGAACCCTAACTAACTTTCTAACTACCAATTGGCACGTGTGCATGGCAATGACTTGCTAGTTAAGGTAACTGTATTGCAAATATTATAACACCCTTCCTCAAGCTTAAGCATGATATATGTTAATCATGCCAAGCTTGGATATGAATGCAATGAAATTAGTTGGTTGAAGTAACTTTGTAAGGAAATCATCCAGTTGTTCCTAAGAAGAAATAGGTAATAACATCAATATTCATTGTTGTACTTTCTCTGGAACCAAGTAGAAATCTATTTCGAGGTGCTCCGTTCTCTCATGAAACACAAGGTTTGATGCTATATGAAAATCACTTTGGTTGTCATAATACAAGACCGGAGGCTTGGAGCACAAGACTTGCAGATCTCTCAAAACATATAGCAGCCATATCAGTTCACAAGTAGTTGAACCTAAGGCTCTATACTAAGCTTCAGATGAGCTTCTTGACATAGTTTGTTGTTTATTAGCCTTCCATGAAATAAGAGATCTTCCTAAGAGAAAACAATATCCTGATGTTGATTTTCATGTATCCATGCAACCTACCTAATCGACATCTAAATAACCTTGGATTTGCAGCTTAGATGATTGAGGAAACATTAAACCATATCCAAGATTCTTCTTGGGGCATCTGATAATTCTGCAAGCTGCTAGATAGTGGAGTTGTATAGGTTTCTACAAGAATTGACTCAACTATAGTGTGCAAAGTGTTATATCGGGTCTGGTATTGTTTAGGTAAGTTAACATCCCAATAAGCCTTTTATATAGCTTAATGTCTTTGAAGGGCTCACTATTATCTTGCCACAATTTGAGAGATGGATCTAATTGTGTGGCAATCGATTTTGATGCAAGTAACCCTGTGTCATTTAAAATATCTAAGCAATATTTCCTTTGATAAATAGTGATGCCTTCTTTTGAATAAGCTACCTCAAGACTAAGGAAGTACTTCAATATTATTAAGTCCTTGATTTTGAAATTTGTATCCAGGATCATCTTGATACGATCAAACTCCACTAATGATGTTCCTGCTAGTATTATGTCATCAACATATACCAATGGGATGGTGATGTGTTCATCCCTCTTGAAAGTGAACATGGAGTAATCAGCAGTTGATTGTTCATAGCCAAGTTTTAATAAAAGAGAAGTAAGTTTCTCATACCACTTTCGACTAGCCTGCCTCAAACCATACAAGCTTTTCACTAACTTGCAAACTTGATTTGGTTTGTCACATGTAACACCTTGTGGTATGGTCATGTAAACATCCTCCTCCAAGTCTCCATGCAAGAAGGCATTATTTACATCAAGCTTATGTAAATGCCAATGGTTGACAGATGCTACTGCAAGTAAAATCCTGATAGTGGACAATTTAGCAACTGGTGAAAAAGTGTCAAGAAAAATCTAAGCCCTCAACTTAACTATAGCCCTTTGCAACTAATCTGGCTTTGTATCTTTCTATTGATTCATCTGCTTTTTGCTTGATCTTATAAACCTACATTTTTCCTTTAGGCTTAACATTAGGTGGAATATCCACTAAGACCCAAGTACCATTGGCATCAAGGGCTTCTAGCTCAAAATTCATAGTTACTGTCCAATTCTCATTCTTGCAGGCATCCTCATAAGATTTAGGTTCAGAATCTTGAGTGACTGGCATGCTAAATGATTTATGATGAGATGATAATGACTCAAATGAATGGAAGGGGAAATAGGATAAGAAATACATGAAGATTATAGTGCAGCTAAACTGTTTGATGAATTGCACACATAGTCTTTTAGGTGAGTAGGAGCATGCCTTTGTCTAGCAGGTTTATTATTTTTTAGTGATGAATCGTTTAAGTTGTGTATGTTTGAAGGTGTGTCTGAGGAATACTCAAAATAGATAGGTTCATATTTAGGTGTAGACAATTTGTTTTCATGTGGTGTGGAACTGTCTTGAGGGTCATTTGGTTGATAAGAGGTGTTATCACCAGTGTGATATTACCAATGTGGTTTAAATGGGAAAATATATTCATGGTGAATAACATTTATTGAAATGAATACTTCATGGTTCTTAAGATCCAAGAGGATTGTTCCTTTAACCCCTTTCTTGTAACCCAAGAAAATGCATTTTCTTCCTCTATGGTCAAGTTTGGTTCTATGTGCATGTAAGGTTGAGTTATAGGTGAGTGTACCACAAATTTTTAAAACATGTAAGTCAAGATCCTCATTGTATAAGTGATAATGATGTGACTTTTTTTTCAAGACAACACTAGGAACACGATCTATGATGAAGACAACATGACTAACAACAAAAGACTAAAAGGCTTTCGGTACATTGACTTGAAAAATAAGGGTTCTAGCAATGTTTAATATCTGCTTATGTTTCCTCTCCACCCTACCATTTTGTTGAGGGGATTCAACACAAATTGTTTGATGGCAAATGCATTTTGAAGCATAAAACTCAGGCATGAGAAACTTGAGGCCATTATCACTTCTAAGGGTTTTGATAGTAGAGTTATGTTGAGTTTCAACCATTTTGATGAAATTGACTACATTTTGTCTTGTTTTAGCTTTTGTTTTCATCAAAATTAACAATGTGTACCTACTTAAATCATCTACAACAGTAAAAAAAATAAGAATGCCCATTATGAGATTTGATAGCTAATGGATCACATACATCAAAATGAACTAATTAAAAAGGTCTAGCAGCTTTATTAAAACTGGAATTAAAAGGCAATTTCTTGTGTTTGGCATAACGGCATACATCATAGACTACCTTTTGACCAACAACAATAAAAGGAAATGTGAAATGTAGAACTTGCATTCTACTTGTTGAGAGGTGTCTTGATCTGAAATGCCATAGTGCATTATCAGGTATAGTACATGATGAGGTATGGTTTATTCTAGAAAGAGCTGCATGCTTGCCTTTGAGAACTAAATGGTATAATCCTTCAAATTTGTTAGTTGAACCAATCATCTTCATGGACAATGGATCCTGAATAAAACAGTTAGTGTTATTAAAACTAACAATGTATTAAGAATGCTGACATAGCTTTGAAACTGAGATAATCTTGACAGAAAATTCAAGTATGTATAAAACATTGGAGATGATGAAATTAGGAGAAAATTGTATTGTGCCAATACCTGTGGTCATGACAAAATTGACCATTTGACAATTTTACATTAATGGGTTTAACTTGACTAATGTATGTAAACCAAGAGCTATTGGAGCATATGTGATCACTTGCTCCTGAATTTATGATCCAAGAGTCAATAGTAGAACATTTGTAAATGGATTAATAAGGATTACCTGTTGCATTTACAAGTGTATGACATGTAAATGAGGATGAACCAAGTTGATTGGAAACTGTTGAAGATGAACTTTGGTTGAGAGTGGAATTCTGAAGCAAATTCACCAATTTGTCAAATTGTTCTTGAGTGATTGAAGTCGAGCTATTCTTATCAACTTGTGATTGAGTGGAGACATTGTTATCATCATCATTTTCATTTGAAGAAGCATTGTTGGCCATGGATCCTTTACCATTATGAGGGGGAAAACCATGTTTCCTATAGTGACCTCTATAGTGTGACCAGTTTTTCCATAATGAGTGCATATTTTGGACTTGGATGTATTATACTGAACATTAGAATTACCCAATTTTGAACCTGATCTTTTGAAACCAGCAACATTTATCAAGGCCTGAGAATCATCAGAGGGAGCAAGTTTACCTTTCCTTTCATGTTGCAACACCATGGAAAAGATCTTGTTCATGGGTGGTAAAGGCTCCATTAAGAGGATTTGTGACTTCACCACAAAAAAATTTGCATCTAGGTCTGTTAAGAAGCATATAATATATAGTAAATTGTGATGATCTCGTGCATTCCTCATAGTTGCACAAGAGCATCGAATTCGACAAACACAATTTGGAATTGGAATATAGTTTTCTAATTCTTCCCCGAGAATCTTGAGTTCTGATAAAAAATATGTAACATATTTAGAATCTTGTTTCAAGCATAAATTTATTGTTAAATCTCAGAAACTCGAATAAGGTCACCTTGTGGGAATCTTTCCTTGAGATATTTCCACACATCAATGGTGTTTTCCATGTAGACTATGGACTGAGCAATAGATTCGGAAATAGAATTGATAATCCATGAAATGATTAGCATGTTGTATCGATTCCAAGCACGCATGGATGTATCAATTGGATCTTCTGGGATTATAATGGAACCATTGATAAACTCCAATTTTATCTTGGAGCCAAGTGCACATCGCATCGATTCTGGCCAAGAATGATAATTTGAACCGTTGAAAATAGGTGTGACCTTGATTGAACCAGGTCCATAACTTGGATAAATAAAACACGGTCTGGTTTGGTCAAGTTGTGGATCAAGAACTTGATTTCACGGTGGCACAATTGAAGAAGATGGAATGGAAAAATTAGAGAATGAAAGAAGCGGAAGAGTAAGGTTGAATCGTGATGATTTAATATACAAATTCTACCATTTTATTCCTTTATAGTATTATCTTATTTAGAAAACACACCTATATAATTCACCAACACGCCTATCTAACATGATTGTTAGAAAAACTTTCAAAGTTGAATGGATTTAAGTTTGAATTGTAAGCAAAATCATTTTTCTTATAAATATTTCAAGTATTCTTAAATATGTCTTAAAGTTGGAACACAAAATATCCAGGATAGTTTAGCTTTTATCGAGTTTGCGCAATACCGACGAAAATTCGAATGTAGCAAAGAGTGTCCAGATTTTATGGTGAAGAGGATGTATGTTTTTTGTGATGCATTTTTGAATCTGAAATGTCTTATTTATAATACACATTAGTGTTGTTTCACAAGATTGCGATCCTTGATGAAACAATATTTTTTCGACATTATTTTTACCAAAAGGTGTATTGATTTGTCTATAGCAACACTTTTCAATTATTGCCTAATCAACCTTTGAAAATTTAAACAAAGAATGGAGCTTAACTTATCAGAAGATGAATATCAATGAAGATATTCATTAATAAGAGCAAAGATTTGTTCTAAACAATTTATTTTAATATTCTGTGTAAATAATGTAATTTCTATATATATATATATATATATATATATATATATATATATATATATATATATATATATATATATATATATATATATATATATATATATATATATATATATATATATATATAGTTTTCATCTTGATTGTCTGTAATAACCGATGTGATAGTTAAAACAAGAAGATAATGTACCTCGGTTCAGTGGCGGAGCTAGAATTTTTCTTATTGAGGGGACCATACAATACATTTGAAATAAATTAATGCGTGTTCATCAACTTTAAAAAATTGCCTAATAGTGTCGTGGCCATTGTTGTAATAATTTTTTATAAGTTTTCTGTTCGATACCTGTCAAAGGTAATTTTTAAAATAAATTAATAAAATTGCAAAAAATGGATTCATATGATCAAATTCTAGATTTTGTAGTAGCAAAATAACTCTTTAATCACTGTGCCAACGTGTTTTAATGATAAATAGATGTAACATAACCTACATATTCATTGAAACTTTTGAATGTTTGGGTGGCTATGGCCACCCTCTGTCCATCTCTACTTCCGCCACTGCCTCGGTTGCGACCCTTGATGAAACAACATATTTTCACTAATATTTTTACTAAAAGGTGTACTGATTCGCTTATAACAAGATTTTTTAAGTATTGCCTCATTTCATTCTGCAACACTTCACCAAATGTTGTCTTATTTTGAATTCAAACTCAAAAAACAATAAAAAAAATAAGAGTAACAATCATTTTATGATACGCCACCGACGCTACTTCATTAACACTGTGAATAGCCCGATTACTCTGATATGTCGTGCCTAAATGCTCAAGTGTTGTCTACAAGCTGCCATTAGCGCCTATACGGCCACGCCATCAGATCCAATTCTAAAATCGGAGCTGCTGTCGTCAAACAAGAGGTGTTTAAATGAGTCAAGTGGCATAATGCTTGAGACTACCTCATTTATCTATGTGACACTTTAACACTTGGTTATAAGCATTTGTAGGATTCTTTTAATGAGTTAATAACATTAACACTTTATAAAGATTTTTAAAGTGAGCTCCATTTTTTATGTAGAACTATTTCATAAATACTTATTGTGATTTACTCACTTGTTTATTTCTTATCATTTTTGAAACACATCCATAAATATTTATTGTTCAATAAATTATAATAGTGCTAACTAATCACTTTTTTATTTTTTTATTTTTAATGTCATGTGGACCAATTTTCTCAATCCATTAAAATAATGAATTAGTTAAATGTTTAAATGTGTTTAAATATTATTTTAGTTTAAATAATTTTAAATATATTAAAAAATTGAAAATTATTAAAACAATTTAATATTTAAATGTATTAAATATTACTTTAAAAAAGTAAATATTTAATTTGTAGCTTAAACATTCTCAATATAATATTCAAACTCTTTTAAATAATATATTTAAACATTCTTTGTCAAAATATTTCAAGAGTGATCAATTTATTAAAAAGAGTTATTCAAATAAATATAAAATGTGAAAATTTAACGAACAAATATATTGTTCATTTAGTAAGGTTAAGTTTGGTCGTAAATTCACGTGGTTTAAGGGTGATGGTAAAATTATGATTTATTTAGATAGATTCTTACTCTCAGATAATTGGGTTCAAAAGTGACCTTCTTGTTTGCAGGCTGCTCATTTACGAGGTCTTTATGATTATTGTCCGATAATGTTAACAGTGGATGACGTTAACTGGGGGCCCAAGCCTTCGCGTATGTTGAAATGTTGGTATGAGATACCTGGTTATAATAAGTTTGTATCAGATACTTGGAAGTTATTCAGATTCAGGGGTGGGGCGGTTTTATAGTGAAGGAAAAGTTGTAGGTTGTGAAAAAGGCTCTTAAATTTTGACATCTTACTCATGCTCATAACTTGTTAGGTAGATTGCATTCTATTAAGGCTCGTATCTCTGATCTTGATAGGAAAGGGGAGGTTTCGCTGCTATCTGAGGCATAACAAGTGGAACAAAGGGGACTTTCTTCAGAGGTGGTGGATGAGGCCCAAAAATGTAAAAAAGAGCTCATGTTATTCAAAGTGGACTTTGAAAAGGCTTACGATTCTGTGGATTATGGTTACTTGGATGCTGTTATGAGGAGAATGTATTTTTCGACTTTGTGGAAGAAGTGGATGAGAGAGTGCATTGGGTCGGCCACAGCATCAGTGTTAATTAATGGTAGTCCTATAGAGGAGTTTTGATTTCAGAGAGGCTTGCGCCAAGGTGAACCACTTTCTCCCTCTCTTTTCTTACTGGAAGCTGAAGGGTTGCATGTGTTAATGGAAGCGTTGGTTGTTTCCACTCTTTTTACGAGCTATGTTATATATGGTGAGGTTACAAAAGTTATTTCCCGTCTTTAGTTTTCAAATGACACCTTGCTTATGAGGGTCAAGAGTTGGGCTAATGTTAGAGCCTTGTGTGTGGTTCTAATGTTGTTTGAAGCTATGTCGGGTTTGAAAGTTAATTTTCACAAAAGTATGTTGGTAGGTATTAAAATTTCTGAGTCTTGGTTGCATGAGGCAGCCTCAATATTACATTGTAGAGTCAGAAGGGTTCCCTTTTTGTATTTGGGTTTTCCGATTGGTGGAGATTCTAGAAGGCTGGATTTTTGGGGTCTGATGTTGTATCATATTAAATCTAGGTTATTTAGTTGGAAGAGTCGCAACTTATTGTTCGGTGGTCGCTTAATTATCCTGAAGTCGGACATTTCCTCTATGCCTATCTATTCTCTTTCTTTCTTTAAATCTCTAGCAAGTATTATCACTTCTTTATATTTTATTCTTATGAGTTTCTTTTGGGGTGGGAGTGACGATCATAAGAAAACTGCTTGGGTTGACTGGGCGGAGATTTGGAAAATAAGGATTTAGGTGGTTGGGTGTTAGAAGGCTAAATGAGTTTAATATATCTCGGTTAGGTGAGTGGTGTTGGAGGATGCTAGTGGAGAGGGATGGGTTGTGGGTAAAGGTGTTAGAAGCTCGGTATGGGGTGGTGTTTCCAGTGATTTCTGGTAAACAACCGCTAGTCTTCCAAACTATCGAATAATCTTTCTTACTGTTATTCAATCCCTCTGGTAACTCACAGGATCGACTAGATTGATCCTAGGACTCCTTGGATATTAAGGTTACTCTCACAATCAAACAGATATTCATGGTTGATATTGTATAAGTGTTTGGCTTGTTTCGATCTCTCTCTCTAAGAGTCTAAAGATGTAATCAAAATGTGTGTGAAAACTAAGTTATACGAATAAATGCTAATTGTAATGCTAATTGTAAAGACATATAAAACTGCATGAAAATGAAGTAAATGGTTTCGACTTACAAAACGGTTAACATAAAGGGTTTCTGGAACGTAAAAGTTTGAAATGTGAAGAAAGCGTTTAATGCAAGAAATCTGTAAATGATTTTAAGTAAAAGTATGCGTTCGAAGGATAAGACTTGAAGGTAAAGGTATGGAAAATGTGACAGTTTTCTGAAATATAAAGTGCTCAAAATATAAAGAAAACAATAAAACGTAAAACTTTGAAGAAGAGATTTCGAAGTGAAAAGACTGTAAATAAGAAAACTTGTAAATGTTGTTTGACAAAAGGAATAAAGGAAAGTACTGGAAATGGTGAAAGGTTTTCATTAAATCATAAATACATGGTGCTATCATACATACATTTCTCTTGCATTCGTTTCCCTTTCCATGTGGTAGTTTGAATGTTATTGAGTATTTTGTATAATAGATATGACACACGAAATCCTAATACTAAGACTTCTATTTATACTAATTCGACCATAACGGTCTTGCTATAGG